CACACACACACACACACACACACACACACACACAGGTCTGATGAACACAAAGTCCAAAATCACTGCTCCTGCTCCACTGAGCTCATGATGGGAAACTGTACTTTCTCACACTGCCACAAATTTGTATGCCTGTCACTGAAGAGTCTTTTTGTAAAGGGAATAGCTGGCCATGCACTACAAATCATGGGGCAAAGAATAAAAGGCAAGGAGGAACCCAGACCCTACTCTCTTTCACTGATGGTGGTAGCGGGAGCAGCTAGGATCCTTCCTTAGAGACTTACTCAAAAGTTACAGGCAAACTTCTACGTTTGTTTTGCACTCCAAGTTCTAAAGACACTTAAAAAAAATCCTGGATAAACCATATTCTGAGGCTGTTAAGAAACATCTGTTTCTAAAGGCTACATCCTATCCAAACTTCTAGTCGTGACCTTGGGCCACTGATGCCTATGTGAGTGTGACAAATTTTGTCCTTGCTTCTTCTCAGGCTGAGAATAAACAGGGCCCGGGACCCAGCAACAGGGTCCTGGAGTGGGTGCCTTCTCCACACGATCAAATCATGTCCTAGTCTTGAACAGATCCATGTGTAGGCCCCGTGGGCCAGGCCCCCCTCCCTCCTGAGGGAAGCCGCTTCTCCCAAGGATCCCACATTCAGAACCTTTCTCATGTTTAGTGGCAGGAGAGGATTCCACGGAGCGAGTCAGGCAGCCAAGGACATGCCTTCCCCGCAGAAGAGCGGAGATGTTTTCATTTGGAGAAGGAGGGAGAATAATTTGTTCCTGACCTAGCTAATTAGAATACCCTCAATTGGGATCACAATGTATTTAATTAAATTCACTGTAATATATGAAGAATCCACCAAGGCACAAATCCCAGTGGTACACTCGATAACTGAGCTGCCTCCTTCCAGAGTTCTTGCTCTCCTCGCCAGGCAGGAAATTTTTCTCCCACGCAAACCCTGAATTCCCCAGTGTTCCCTTTCTGTCTCTACCACAGGGCTCTCCCATCAGGGTGGAGGGGGGACCCAACAGCTTGTTTTACTTCTTTCCCTTTTCTTTACTCTGTGTTCAGGATTCCTTCCTGGCTCCCCTTGTCAGGTCGGGAGTATGTTTAAAAAACAAAACAAAAACAAAATGACAACATTGGCTGTGGTTAGTGTGCAGCAGCACAGGCTCCCCAGAGACCAACAGAAAGCCGGCGGCACAGTCTATTTGCTGGGATATGGTGTGGTTTGATTGCAAATGTCTACCACACACACACACACACACGCGTGCGCACACACACACACATATGCATGCACATACGCACGCACGCACACATGCCTGATGATCAAACCCAGAACCTGCAGTGACACAGAAGATCTGCTGGGGGTTACCAGGAGGGCATCTTTATGGCCATACGGTACAAATTCCTACAGACCACAGGAGCCTCTTGGCTCACTGAAGAGATCTCCGACTGAATGACAAATCTATTACTGAGGAAGGATGGCCAAGTGGCCAATCAAGAAAGGAAGATCACCCAGCTAAATCATGAAAGGTGCAGCTGAGAGCCAGCCTCTACTTGTAGCCTTAAATGCAGCTAAGCTTTCCCTCGGCTGTTTCTGCAGCTCACTGTTTTAGAAATTGCCTACAGGGGCTGGGGTTATGGCTGGGAGTAGAGGGTTTGATTAGCACAAAGGAAGGCCCTGGCTTGGATCCCTAGCACATAGGAACGCATGAATGAATGAGCAAGTGGATGAATGAAGAAATAAAATGTGTTTGCAAAACACTAGGTATATGCTCTATACAGGGCAGAAGGACTTAAAGAATCGAGGAGCGAGATTAAGTACCCAGGTTGAGTCATATATGGAAGCAGAAAAAAAAAGGTGCAAGAATCTGCAACTGCTCCAAAACAGGGCAATAGAGATCAGAGCAGAACATCCTCCAGGCAAGCGGTGGAGAATGTGAATGACACATGCTGGCTGGCCATCACCTACTGTTAGCAATGACAGGAATGGCTCGCTCAATACTGAGTAGAGATAACAACCACC